AAATCCACAGGGAAAGTAAATCAATGCTTTTTCCAGGGCCTGGGGGTAGGGGGTGGAGTTGGGAATGAGGAGTAATTGCTAATGTGTAGGGGCAGATGAAAATGTTCTAGGATTAGACAGTGGTGATCATTGCACAATACTGTGAATGTTTTCAAAAGTGGAGAAATGACATGATACCCCCTATTTGTGTTAAAATGTAGCGGTATTAGATCAGTCAAGGTTCTCCCAAGGAAAAAATCAGTAGTACTACTATATACTAGCAGAACTTAGCAGTGGTTCTCAACCTTCCTAATGCTGCGACCCTTTAATACAGTTCCTCATGTTGTGGTGACCCCCAATTTCATTGTTACAAATTGAACATAATTAAAGCATAGTGATTAATCACAAAAACAATGTGATTATATATGTGTTTTCCGATGGTCTTAGGCGACCCCTGTGAAAGGGTCGTTCGACCCCAAAGGGGTCTCGACCCACAGGTTGAGAACAGCTGACTTAGGGTGATGAGTAATCCAAATGAAGGTGAGGAAGTGATTACACAAAAAACTTCATATGCAAATTAATGTCAACTGCTATAGCCTTTCTAAAGGTCAATCACACATATTAAATTTAAGTAGACACATATACCATGAAATCATTTCATTCTTGGATATATATTCCAAAGAATTTTCACATTGGTCTCTTCCAAAGGGTTCCAAAATCTCACATATGTCTATAGCAGACATGTATGATGATATTCATTTCATTGTTATTGGCAAAGGCAATGGTAAGAGATAGGTAATATGGTGCAGAATATGAAGTTCTATGAACTTCTACTTTCTTTGATTTTGCTATTCATTTGGTAACTTCTTGAGATGAGTATTTTAAAATCAATTTTCAGCTTCTAACACTTACGCATTTAAGGCTCAACATTCCCCTCTATGTATAAACTAAAACTACAGTTCCAATGGTGAGTTTGACTTTTTCTTACAACATGTATGCTTTTGCTTCTGGCTAAGACTAAATGGTTTGCTTATGAAAATAATAGCTGCCGTTTGTCAATATCCCAAGTGCAAAGCACTGTGTTTAATACGTGACACTGTCCCTAATCCTTCTAACAACTTAGTGATATTAGCCTTGCCTTACAAATGAAGACACTGAGACTGAGCTTGTTAGGAAGCTCATACAAAGTCACACAGCCTGCAGTGGCAGAGTGAGAACTTGAACACATGAAGACTTGACTCGAGAGCCCAGGCAGACTCTCCCTGTGCCCCTTACTGCCTCTCCATTCACTCCCTTACCCTTACAGGCTCTTGCCAAAGACTGTCATGCCATGGTTGAGAAGAGTCTTTTTGTTTAAAGAAAATTGTATTGCCCTAACCGGTTTGGCTCAGTGGATAGAGCGTCAGCCTGCAGACTGAAAGGTTCCAGGTTCGATTCCGGTCAAGGGCATGTACCTGGGTTGCAGGCACATCCCCAGTAGGGGGTGTGCAGGAGGCAGCTGGTCGATGTTTCTCTCTCACCGATGTTTCTAGCTCTCTATCCCTCTCCCTTCCTCTCTGTAAAAAATCAATAAAATATATATTTAAAAAAAAAGAAAGAAAAGAAAATTGTATGCATCTGTGTGTTTGGGGGATTTGTTGCTTGGTTTGGATTTCCTGCAGTAATACTTGGGGGAAGGTTGGGCACTGAATTATCTTCTCAAGGTTGAGCATCACTGTAATGAGGTAAAAGTTTGGCATCCTTGAGTATGAACAAATATTACACAAGACCCTACAAGTGTCAGGCAGATGGTTTTTATTCATTCAGTCACCAGATACTTCTGAAGAGGCTATTTCTTAGGGAGCATCGTTTGTGATGCTGTAAGAGGTGGAAACAAACAGCAGGATCACTACCTGGAGCCTTTGTTCCCTTGATGATCCCTGCTTTCCCATGACTAGAGCAGGGAACACTTGACCCTCACTAATAGGTTATTTGTTTTTTGTTGTGTGTTTTTTTTGTTGTTGTTTTTTTAAATAATTTTTATTACTTGAAGTATTACAAAGAGTATTACATATGTCTCCTTCCCCTCCCCCCCCTTGAAATTCCCCCGGCCCCTACCCCCTAGTGTCTTGTGTCCATTGGTTATTCTTATATGCATGCATATAAGTCCTTCGGTTGATCTCTTAACCCCCCCAAACCCTCCCCAGGCTTCCCACTGTAGTTTGACAGTCTGTTCAATGCTGCTCTGCCTCTGCATCTACCCCTGTTCATCAGTCTATACTGGTCCCCATTATCTGTCCCAACCTCACTGAAGCCATCCCAACCTCACCGGGGCTGTCTCGGCCTCACTGGGGGCTGTTTCAACCTCACTGGGGGTGGTTTTAAACCTCACCGGGGGCCGGCCCGACCCTCCCCCGGGGGGCATCTCGAACTCCCCCGGGCCCGTCTTCAAACCTCCCTGGGGGCCATTTTCGACTTCGACCGGGCCGTGTTCGACCCACACTTGGAGCCCTCCCCGGCCCACACCGGGGGATACCGGACCTCACCAGGG